GTAAAATTTTCCAAGGGTAATGCATCATGTACGTTTTTTTTCATCTCAATACACTATGTTCATAGAGCAAATCACGTGTGTCTACATGAAATACTCTCCCCGTCCGGTCATCCATGCACCCTTGGCGAAAGGTGTTATCTGCTAACAGATACCGTAGCAATGGCACTTGGTGTCTGTCTGTCAAGATTTTCACATCATGTTACACACACCTTCGTCACTGTCAACGCGGCTTTGGTCTACAACCCTGTATAAATTGGAGCTGATCAGTATGCACCCTCGGGGATGAGGCGAGAACTACCTGAAGGGTAAGCCTTTTTATGTAACATTACACAGAAGGCTGTGCATATAGTTTCGTATGGTGACGCCAAATCACATTTCAGATCACCCCTCATGTAATTGTACTGAAATGTATACGTTCAACAGAATCAAGAGCACTTGAAATATGCGAATATTAATTTGAACTAATCTCTCGTAGCCTGCTTGTTATTTATCTGCGTTTGCCATTTCTTCCGCCATGTCTGACAAAAATGCAAAAATACAAGATTTCCGGCGTCTTTAAAGCGAATATAAATAAAGAAAACGGGCTATGGGACTATCAATAAAGAGTATATTTTCAACAAATTCATAGTATTCCATCATTACTGTTAGAAAAAACAATTTGTCTCAGTCTCTGTACCGTATATCTCCTTCCACTGTGATTTGTTTAGAATAAAGCTAGATTATCCTACACTGTAGAACGAAAGAACAGCCACTGAAACATATCAAAAAGAAATTTCTTTACAAACACTCCTTTTATTTGGAATTTGTGATTCGTGTTCTTTCATGAAGGCGTTTATTGCAGCGGAACACTTCTGTAGTTCACCGAACTCTTTTGGTGACATCCGTCACCACCTTCGGGGATCCCACGTGAAATTTCGAGAATAGATGTTTATTTCTCCAAAGAAGCACACACGTGCACTAAAGTCTATTTATTGGTACGACTAAGCCGTAATTGTTTGTATTCAAACAAACCGCTGTACACTGTTCTTTGTCTTTTCATTAGGCCATTTTGTTTACAACTATCTGAACGAAAAGTTCAACTTTACGCATCATGGTTTTCATGGATTAAATCTACACAGCTGACCCTGTCCGTTGTTCTCTTCTCCTTTAGAAGCGACATTTTACAGGCTGTTCCTGATATTGTCCTAGATGTTTGGGAGATTGCCACTTTTCCTTTTATTCAAATAATAAATTACGAGGAAAAACGGTGAACGAGGTCCCTGATAAGTCCAAGATACTGTCACAGTACCCTATTCTTTACTTCTCACGTTAGTGACTTACATTTTTGATCTTCTGTTCGGTAATATAATTATGCTGATAATATTGGCATTTCAATCCAAATATCTGATTCGTCAAAAATTAACACATCCAATATGGAAAATAAACTTCTTGTCAAGTGCGAATTCGCTTATCCTGTTTTAGGCTTGACTTTGACAAAACTCTTGATGAGTCTTTTGTCGTTAGTCACCACCCGTTTCCATCTGAACAGCTTCAACTGAAAAAAATGCTAATGCACATAGTTGTTCTCATGAGGCACCCTAGTTTTACCGTTTCAAGTAGTCTGCGCCGGGTTCCTATTTATTTAGACTGTTGTGTGCAATTTAACTGGACTCTATATTGCTAATGAAGGTCGTAAGCAGTGTTTTCTTCTTATTGTGTCTCACTGGAAGACACTGGAAGGCCAATCCAAACTGGTTTCAGTTTGGTAGGTCGTGATCTGATATACAGTGCGATTACTCCATCTTTTACCATCGTCTCGTCCCTCTCACTCATGACCTTAAACAAGTAAATTCACTCAGACCCAACCATTACACATGGACATATCTGCAAGCGAACCCCATCCCTCCGCCCTCTGCAACTACGGATTTACTCCTGCTTGTTTTCCGTGTACAGAAACTCCTTAATAAACTATTCTGCTTAATTCCTGACCAATAAAGTAAGCTATTGCTGTGAGTTTAACAAAACATTTTGCAGTCAATCTGCAGTTCCGTATTATCTGTTTTGACCTGATCCTTTGTCAGTTTCATTATATGGGTATCTTTCCAGCTGTAGGCTTATGTCTTACTGACCAAAAATTGAGCAGAAACTGAGGCTGTACTGTTGTCGATCAGCGCTAGCCAAAAGCAATACCATACTATCAAAGATCATCCTTCAACTTGACTTGTGATTCACACATTAGTATGACCCACTCCCGAGAACCTATTTGTAACACGAGAGCTAATCAGCATAACTGGCTCGTTGGTGAGTCCCCGGACCCTCCTGCCTCCACCTATTCCCAAGCATGGTCAGAAAGACATTAGTCAACCTTTTGGTGCCATTTATTTGCATTTATAAACAAAAGTTAAGATAAATATAAGAGAGGAAATATTATTCCTTCAATGGTTTATGCACAAAAAGTCATGAATTTCATTGCATTGGTCACCTTCATCTTTCATTCGACGCAATAATGCGGTCTGTATATTTTCCTATACCAGTTAAAGAAACCCATCTGCAACTTGTCGGTGTGGTAGTGACGTTTTTGATAAAATCAAGGATATTATGCTACATCATCATAGCAGAATGTATTTTTTTCGAACCAGTTACACCAAGAATCATCTAAATCACCCCCAAAATTATCACACTTCTTGTACATCTCCATAAATCGACAACGGTGTTTATTGAAATAGTGTTTGCTCGTTTTCCTTCATGTATATAAGACCAAAGTCTGCGATTTCCTTTAGTTTCTAAGGTGTTCATCTTACTGAATTATGTAAGACCAAAATGCCCAGCCTGTCTGCAGATTGCGCCGTCCACTCATTGACGTTTTCGTTGCTGATCCCGTGTCTGCATCTACCATTGGTAAGCAGCATCACTTTCATCATCAACCTGTTGTTAAAATCCTTTATCAGGCACACTCCTTGATCAGTTCCCTATTCGATAAAACGATTCCAATGTGATGCTTCCAACGTGAAATGCTTTGTAATTTGTTTACTTTTGAGACATATGGAGCTCCTGATTGAGAGTTTCTAGGTCAGTAGCAACCTACGAGTACGAGGAGTGTTCCAATCTAATGGACATGCCAGAAACCATTCAAGGGCCCACGTTAATAGTTGATTATTAGGGGCAGTTTTGTGAAAAGCGAAAGTGATTTGGGGACTGATTCTTCTCGGAGAGACTACATTTCAAAGTGCATTTGGTGCATAGAAGAATGTAACGATGTTGAGTGTTTTGAGCTATGTGAATATTGAAAAGCTGATACTTTGTTAGCATACGATGTTTGAAAATTATGAGAGTGAGTGATTCCGCGGGTATTTGATCCTTGATCTTCGTTTGGGAATGTCTGTCTATTTTTCGTGGTTGACGTCAACACAACCGCACACACAAACACGACAGGACGGAGATAAAATAAAATCAATGAATGAATATTGTTGTTACAAATAGGATTAAGACGGTATCTTATGTGTTTCCACCTTATGCAGACAAAGATCAGTTGTTGCTTGGTAACTTTTACCTCTATCTTTTGGAGGTTTGTACTCATCCAACTTACAATGATAAGTTATAAACTTTCGAGAACAGTCTTTCACTGTATATTGCGTTTTTCACATGATTACGGGTATTATCCTCTTAACTCTTTTCAGTTTGGTAAAACCTAAAGTTTTCAATAAAGTTCCTTGCTATTCTTTACAATTTACGATTTGCTCAATTTATTGTCATTCAGAAGTCTGTTTCTCAGTCTGTCCCGTCTATTTTAAACCATTTATTGGAAAATATGCAATTCACATAATTGTACCTTTCTACTGACTAAGATGTATCTTACATAACATATAACGTTAACATATTCAGACTGCGGTCGTGCTTTACCCGTCACTCGTCTTGGTCAATACTCACACAGGCTATTATACATGTAGCTCTGTCCGCGATAGACTATGCACGCACGACAGTTCCTTTGATAATTCTATGACAAAACCTCTGGACCAATTGAGTTTATGAGAGTCTTGTCAGTTGTTCAACCTGAACAAGGAGTCACTACCCCCTTGAGGCAGCAAAAGCATAAATCAGTAATCCTTTTTTATGAATAAAAATTTCTTGATTTCAATTGCATACCTTATAATTATGAATGTTTTCGACAGTTATCGAAATGATAATGAGTTGTGTTCAATGCATCAAAACGCAATTATTGACTTGCACTGTCTCACGGCTTTTCACTGGTTGACAGTGGAGTATGATAGCGACAGAGAGCTTGATGGTTTGGTTTTTTGCTCATAAATAACTGGTCGGATTGTCCGCAAACAACAACATTGGTAAAACAAAAGCGTTCTGCTTCACCCAAGGAAATGTTAATATAGCCCTGCGGTTGGCTTGCATCGGTCGCAGAAAATCTAACTTCAAATTGTTTTCTTCATTTCGGGTGAAGATGGAAAAACACGTGACTACTCTGTGAATCACCTGTGAATTCGCATTTGTTTTTGCTCAGCGATGTTTTTTTCATTGATTTTATTAATACCATCGATGAGACACATTTCGTTTGCACTGAACTCATGTGTCTCGCTGCTGTTAGAACTCACCACTAATGCGGAACACACCCCAACTCAAGAACATGACTGTCAATTTAATGTGAATTAGAATTCTATCAGAATCCAAAATGATTCAATGAGAAGCGTTCAGCTGAGGTCAAACCACTATTTTGTGTTGCACATGGTTGCTTGCAGGTTGAATAAGCTGACCGACTGTCACTGAAGACATCTTTGAATAAAATTGATGCGAGTTATTGGAAGTTCCGTGCTGAAGGTCAGCAGTTCAAGCATTTGATGATCTACTGTACTCCGAGCTCTAAACAAATCTAAATTCGATTCCAGTAACCACAGAATTCTTGACAGATTCGATGAAAAGAGAATCGCGCGTCATTATGACCCGCAAAAGGTTGGTGCGTTGTAACCTCTGATATATAGAAAACAAAAAATGAACTGGCTTACACGTGCGTTCTACTCAATTGTACTTGCTCTCGTTGCTGAAGATAGTGTGTATATACCAGACCCGATGGGATTTGAACCCGAACCGGCGGACACTCGTCCTGTCCACTTGTTTCGGAAGCACCTACACGTGCACAGAAAAACAAACAATTGCTTGCGAAATGGCGGGCTAGATACGGTCACTATGAGCGGATTGAGTGCACTGTTCACGATAGTTAAAAATGTTCCGAGACGACGTTCCACACCTTGGGACCCGAAATCAATCGCCCCATGTGCGTACAACAAGAAATGGATCACTTTGTATGCGTGAGTGAGCATGAATACAGCCCACATGAATATAGCCGGAATGGTGACCGCCCGATTGAATCCACTGGCCTTTCCATTCGATTTAATAGAGCTTTGGGTTTGTACGGATTCCGCAGAGAAACGATCGTTCGCAATAAACTCGTGGAACTGACTCAATTTGGGTACCCAAATTATCTTGGTTTTCAAAATAATTTGAACATGACAATATGCCATCACTGTGGCAGGAAGTAGATAGCCGAAAATCAGCCACACATAGGCCGCAAATAGAAGAAAATGAATAAATTCGTTCGAGTGAATATGTTCCACAATGTGTTCACACTTTCTCTGTCTATATTTGACCAGAAATGTCGCAGGAATTGCGTTCAACAACGCGTAGGAGAAGACGAACACATAGATCACGATTGTGGTTATACGTTCATTTTGTTTATATGACTGCGAGAACACAATTGCTCGTAGCCGATCGACAGCGATGCACACTAGGTTGGTCTCACTCAGAACGACCATGAACCAGAACAGACTTCGACTGACCCACACATGGCAATGGATTGGGGCAATCCAGGATTGCATGTTCGAGGCCCTATCGGGACTGACCAAAGAGACTAATGCGTACACCGAAACAAGTCCATCAAATGTGAATTGATTTTTCATCAACAATGTTGTCAATCTGGAACCGACTTTGTTGAAGAACAGAAAGCAAAGGATGAGCGCGTTACCCAATATACCCATAATGTCCGTGAACAGTTCGAAATAGAAGAAAACTGTTGGTATGTGAACCATGCTGGTGAATCACGTCACTGATTTCTTTTCAGGCCCAAGTGATTCTGTCGACACTGATGACAGAATCTTTGTTTTCAAGGCAGCAATTGGGTCTCTGCTCACTTGAATATGTTCCCTTGATGCACCAATCAGGGTCAATGTTTTACGCATTTCTCAAAATTTCGTTCCCCCTATTCTTTCCCGATCCCCATGGCATAAGCTGCTTCGGCGTATTCCAGCAAATAGTTATTCAAGGTTATACTTCATTCACAAGGATGTAAGCACGGAGTTCAGATAAGGAAGATACTGGTTGAAAGGTGTAAAAATGGGAACTTTCACCTCCCAGTAGATCGCGTGAGAAGCTTCAAATCACGCAAATGTTACATTTCATTTTCCATGGTGAAGACACACGCCATAATTGATCTCACCAATGTAGGTGACTGGATGCATTTCACTTCAACTGAGGGTAACCAAATGTGCCTTTATTCGTCAACATGATCGGTGAAATTGATAAAAATAGCATTCGAAAGTACTTTCTTCTCACATAAGCATACCCAATTTGCAACTTTCCTGTTCATTGGTAGCAAAAATAAATAAAAACACGATTTTGTTTTCTTCAATCATAAGGAACAAATTTACAGGCTATTAAGAAGGCTAGCGAGATTTGGAGATCTGGAGATATCTTTCCTATAGTCCGTCTGATTTATTGAGTGTTTACATAGGCCCAGATGAAGGAGATAAAACAGAAACAATGTTTTCTTCATCAGTGTGGGAAAAATTTCGCTTGTAGCGGAATTCTCGATATTTGTCCTCAAAATGTGACCCAAATCTATGTGAAAAATTAAAGCTTTTACGACACGTGGCACTGAACCGTTCTAGGAAAATTTTGAAACACTAGAACGTATTCGATTGCCTCAAGAAAAACGAAGGGTTCTATTAACATCAAAATAACGAATTCACAGTAATGGCAAATTATTTGTTTCTTATTTACACTGATCAATACGGCATTAAAGAATTTCCCACATATCTTAAATCTAGCTATCATAACAAAAGGAAAGTAAAATCGTTCTGTAAAACGTGGCCAAATATCACGTGACGATACCAGTTTGAACGATGAAACTATTCATGGGAATGTAAAACTACACTGGGATGCCGTGACCACCGGTTTTGTAACATGAGAAAGGTTTCTCAACGCACATCACTTTTACAAGGGGTACAAAAGTTATATTTTGCCCATGGAGCCAACATGGAA